GACCCCTCAGAATGCTGCCGCCACCTCAATCTGGAGTATCCGTGGCCATACCTGCAGCTGTTCGAGCTGCGTCATCAGAGAGCAAGGAGGATTCAGAACCTGGAGCACTGCTTCCCGATGATGCAAGGCCTACTACAATGTATCACAAGGTCATGAAGAAGGTGGATGCAAGAAAAAAGGCTGCCATCAATGCCTGGACACAAGGCTCGCTTAGAATGCATAGCGGTGGTGAGAGGGTGCTTTGCCCTTTGTGTCAAGTTCCAGTCAAAATGAAGCACCTGATCTGGCAGTGCAGCTATCATGAGCAATCTTTGCCGGCTGAATGGGTGCAGATGATGCAGGCCAATGAAAGCACAATGCTGTGGGCGCGTGGGCTCATTGATGCTCCTGGCTGTCATTTGGAAGTTGGGTCGGATTCGTGTGAAGTTGAGGGCATCTTCAGTCATGGTTGGCCAGTCAGGATTGGTCCGCATCAGAGGCTGGCCATTGTAGTACAAGCCACCTGGAAAGACCCGAGGTTGCGGAACTATGCTGTTGCAGTAATTGCGGGGCAATGGCAAGATGGAGGATCCCAGGCCACAGAGGCTCGTGGATGGTTCTTTGGATGTTGGCTCATCCTGCAGTTGGTGCTGGGCAAGCATCAGCTCAACATTCCGCACAAAGCGGGTTGGACAGCCATCAAGAAGGGTGCTGAAGGGACTGTCACACTATCTTCGTGCCCGCCTTCAGTTCCGTTTGGCCAAGCAAGCTGCTGGAGATAGAGCCCAAAGGGAAGGGGTTGAGGACGCTTTCCATGAGGAAGTTTACATGGCGGCGGCCAAGCGCATCAGCCAGATGTTGTGTGACAAGGAGCGCTACATGAATGGGCAGCTTGAGCCTGTTGAGGTCACCTTCAAAGTCCAGCGTGCGCACAAACCAAAAGGGCGGCTTGAAGTCTTCCGCAAGCTCACCTTGCTAGCTGAGCAACCGGGCCAGCGTGTTTGGCAGCTGTGCAAGAATGGTGTGAAGTGTCGTGACTGCTCCAAACATATCAAGGGGCCGGGTGTGCAACGCACTCAGAGATTGCCCACAAGCAGGACACACCTTGCAGTGGGCAAGTCACGAAGACCTTGGAGCAGCTGACGAGGGAGCTGGTTGATGAATCCAGCCTGTTGGCTGAAGGGCAGGAAGGGCATCGGTGCTATGTCAAAGGGAGCAGTTTTGGTTGCAGCGTGTGTTGGTTGAAGATTCCTCGACGATGTGGCAAGCAAGTGCTGCAGGCCATCCAGGCCAAACCATGTGTTGCTGGCAAAGTGCAAGAGGCTGACTTGCAGTTGAGGACGCGGATCCGCCCTATAGCCACGAGCTCTTCCGGCGGGGTGGATGGATCGAATGCCTCCATTGCCTCAAGCGCTCGAAGTTCCAAGAGGGCCGTGTCCAGACTTGGGTGAGCCAGCATTGTTTTCGGAGCCGTGGACAACAAAAGCTCCGATTTGGCCCAATCAGCTCAGACTCTTGAATGGTCAGAGCTTAGGTTCCATTGTTTGGAACGACAGTTGCAAGGTGAATGACCGTTGGCTGTCGGCCACTTTTGGCCTTGTGGCCGTGGCGTGTTGAGCAGATGGAAAAGAACCGAGAAAAAAGAGATAGAGAGAGAGAGAGAGACAGAGAGAGAGAGAGAGAGAGAAAGAGAGAGAGAGAGAGAGAGAGAGAAAGAGAGAAGAGAGAGAGAGAGAAGGGACGAAGGGGGCATGGAGCTACGAAACAAGCGTCCAGGGACACACCATGGAGAGGGGTGTACCTGGGTGTTGCGCCCAGTGACACCCCTAAGAGCTAAAAAGAAGGGTTCCAAAAGGAACAGGAGGTTCTGGCTTGCCTAACGGCTGCCTGCTTGGTTTCATGCATTTCAGCAAGTCTTGGCAAATCTATGGCGCAAGCTTACTCCGTCCGCTATGGCCACGCACGTTCTCCTGTAGCGAGGGCCTCCAACCTGGTTGCGCTGCCCTCCACATACTAGCGATGGCCTCGCTTGACTGTTCTGCAGCTGCATGTCACCAACCTACTAGTGATGGCAACCCAACCTGCTTGCGATGGCCTCCAACCTAAGAGCGATGACCTTCAACTTGACTGTTCTGCAGTTGCGCGTCGCCAACCTACTAGTGTTGGCCACCCAAACTGCTTGCGATGGTCTCCAACCTAAAAGCGATGGCCTCCAACCTACTCTTCCCGTTTTACTCAAGCCCTTTACTAAGTCGGAACACACTCTGAGATTCGGAGCTGCAACCAAGCGTTTTTGAGGCCAGCTGATGTAGTACCTCTCATTGCTCTCCATCAAAACCACCGCTGGTCCACGCAAAGCTCCTCCTCCTCCTCCTCTTCTGAATCGCTTGGCTGAAGGTTGAATCGCGTAGAAGAACACCATCTCCCGGTGTGAACTCCTTCATGGTGCCTCTTGGCCATCGCCGAACCGCTCTAACTTGTCCTTGCAGTCTTTGCTGCACATCGGAGAAATCTTTGCAGCAGCTTGCGTTTCAGAGCATCTCAAGGCTTCACCTTTAGTGCTGAGCGACTCTCAGCCTTCCTCGAAAAGGTCAGGGAAAAGAGGCGTTCTTCCGAAGACCATCTGATAAGGAATGAACCCTCCCCTTGTGATGGTCTGGTTCTGTTCTTCAATAGCTGCCAGGGTTTCCTTCATCTCTGATGGTCCTTTTTGCTTTGTACTGGCAGATAATGGCATGCGTGGCCCAGTAATCCTCCATGAGGTTCGGAGAAGCTATGTTGCCACCGACAAAAGTTCCATCAAATCTTACTCCCTGGTCCGTGTAAACTGTGGTTGGCGTCCCGTACAGGGAGCACCAGTGACGAAGAAACTTCTTGGCAACACAATCAGCCTTCTGATTGGGAAGCAAATATGCTGCATGGAAGAAGGTCCCTCCATCAACCATGCTCAAAGCGACATGCAGGTGTCGTGCATGTACTTCGTGCCTGTACTTCAAGTCCAAATGCACTTCCTTCCCAAAGACGGAGGTCCTGATGAAAGGATTCATCTTTGGGTAACGTGCAGGGCCGCTCACTTGCTCACAGACTGGGCATTTACAAGTCTTGCTTCATTTCTTTCGACGCCCCATCCAAACTCAGCATCTTCATCAAGTTTGCTGTCTTCCATCCTTGTCCTCCTTTCCTCATGTCTTCTGCAGCATTTGCTTCAACCTCTTCTTTTTTTTCTTCTTGTTGCTCCTCCTGCTCTTGCTCTTCGATGAACCGGGTCAGTCCCTTATCGAAGTCGTTGTTCTGGGGACCCAAACGCACATAAACACTGGCAACGTGCGCCCCAGCATTTCGTGATTGAAATCGGATTCAGTAACGACTCGCTTCACATCCAACAATATCTTCAAGGTTCCTTGGGGAAACACCTGAATGCTCAAGTAAAGAAACTCCGGAAGGATGGACAGAACCCTGTTTTGTTGTTCCGGGGTCTTTGAGACAGAAGAGTTGATCGAAAGCGAGCTAAGAAAGGGGGGCGGTAAAGGAAAAATCAAAGGTTACCGGGGGGCCGAGGGCAGTGAAGTGACACTCACCGAATGTTTCACTAGTCTCACTTAGCTACTGTGGACGTTATGCAGGGGTAGGAGGAAAGGTTGCCCTGTTACTAGTGCACCGCCTGTTCATGCAGCTCCCCACACATGATTCAATTTCTTCCATACAGAGTCGTCTTCGTTTTTAAACTCAATTCGGATCATGCATGTGGTACCTTGGCAGGAAGTTCCAACACACGGCCTCCCTACCTCAGGATGACCTCCTGAAAGGCAACCACTCCAACGCCTCGTCGTTGACGTCGTCGTTGTCATCATCGTAAAGGTCTCCCTGGCAATCTGCACTACTCTCTCCGCTGACCTGGCAAAGTGACGGATTCCTCTTCTGCAGTGTCAACCTGCTCGTCCTCTGTTTTTCCTCGGCCTCACCCCGGTTCTCCCCAGCTCAGTGTTCCTCATCCTTTATATACTTGATAGGACTTCTGGTTCTACCTGTCTGGATCCACCGGTGATATTTGCGATTGTGGGCGCACCGCTTTTCCGGTTATGAGAGTGTGGACATGCCAGTTAAGTTCTTTGCTGCACTGTTCTCAGCTCGAAGCAGCCGCGACAATCCAATGGCCGGGGGCAGTTACAGTGCCTAAGCAAACGAAGGTGCCACATCTTGGAACCAAACTCCAAGCTTGCGTCTTCGGTTTTTAATGTCAAGGGCAGGTGTCCACGACCAAATGTCACAACCCAAGATCTTGTCAGAACCAGCTTCCTTGGGTCCAACCTGCCTGCACTGTCACGCAAGTTAGCGCTCTTTTGACCTGGCACATACACTCACACTCACGGCTGGCTTGGTGTCGGAGACGCGCAGAGTATCAATCAGTAGATCAACGCGCCAAAAACTCAGCTTTACAAGACAGTCACATGCTGAAGACAGCTGGGAAACACTGCGTTGGAGCAACTTCAAGCGTCTTGAAAAAGCCAACAATCGCGGAAACTTAAAGCTGCAAAGTGTCCCGAGAAGAAGTTTTCAATTATCAAACAACTCCTCCTCGAATGCAAGCAAGCAACCCAGTCCTTCAAGAAAGGTTGCCAAGCATCATGGACGCTGGAAAACCCTGTGGCAAGAAATAGGGCCTGCTACTTCGACGGTCTCGCAGGGTCTTCCGACGGTGTATACAGCAACTTAAATCAGGTCATTCAACCTCATGGTCCACGAAGGAGTTCAAAGAACGTTCCACAAAGCCTGAAAACCCAAACCCAGTTGCCGAATGCAGTGTCAATCCAAATCAAACATTGAGAAGCAGCTGCACAGTCGTCAATTCGGTCACACCTTTTGATCGCTAAGGTTTTCCGACACATGCTTGTTGAAAGGTTGAAAGCCAATCTTGGTTTCATCCTTTGGTGCCCATTCATGCAAACCTGAGTCAAGAATCTGACACATACACAGACACTGTTTTTGTGCGGTTGCGACTTGTTCAAAGTGCACTTGAGCAGGAGTTCTTCAAGGTCTTGGGTGCAGCTTATGTGGAAAGCCTTTTCAAAGCGCTTACTTACCACTATTGTGCAAGACTTTTTTGCCAGCTGGGGCCTGCGTGGACGGCTGATGCACACACGATCATGGGCTACGAATTCTGCACCTTGGCTTCTGCTTCGGCATGAGGATGCTCTATCAACACAAAGAATTAGGAGGTTGCTTGGACCTTTCTGTATACGTGTCGACATACTCGGTATGCACCTGACCTACCGGTGTCTGGCTCAAGTCGGGTCATGACACAACACAGCAGCCCAAAAAGGTGCGCATAGAGCCTGGTATCACACTAGACCATGTTCACACACATGTCACCTTTACATGCACTCTAGGATCCTACCTTTGTTTCGAGTTGGTAGCGGAGCCCCTGTGTTGGTTCGGGGCGATGAAGCTACTTTGCCGGCGATTTCCAACATCGCTTTTCGCATGCCGGTGGTTCCCTACACCACCCTTCGAGGCCATGCCGATCGCTTAGGTTCGTGTCCTTGTCTTTCTGTCCCGTTTTCGCCACCACGCGTCCCGGCTCGTGCATCGTGTCCAGGCGATGCCCCCGGAGACGGTTCGGTCTGTCCTTGTCTTGTGTCCTTGCCGCAATCGGTCAGTCTTTGTCTTCCGTGCACCGCCACGACAACCATCCTGACGCCAGTCAGTGATGACGGGAATTGTCCTTGTCTTTTCGTGCCGATTGCCAACACCTCCAATACCACATCCTTCGATGCCACAAGAACTACCAATGCCACACTCACTACAACAACCATTCGCAATGCCTTTCGCCATGTCCACATGTTTGCCGCTCAGGCCAAGAGTGCAAGCAGCTCGATAGCTTTGATGACGGCCGCCGACTCACTCGCTTCAGCTGCACAAGGAATGCATCATGTGCCCAGAACTTCAATGGCTGTTCGCTGTTGCCGCCATGATCACTGCCATCCATGCCTTCTCCAGCAAGGCCACACCAAAGATGCGCGTGATAGTTGGTCGCGTCCGCCACAGCCGCCGAGTTCGTGCAGACTTCAAGAGTGCAAGCATTGGCCATAGCCGTGTTGTGTTTGCAATGCTGTTGTTCGCGCAAGAGGCACAAGCGTTCGCAGGTTTTGAGATTGGCAAAGCCGTTGCAACAGTGCCGGAACCGCCGACCATGTCCGGCGCCGAGGTGACACAGGCCATGGCAAGGTCCATGCAAGAGCCCGCAGTGGCATGCAAAGGGATCAGTGGTGCACCGACCCATGCAGCGCACGCCAACACTCGGCTCGCCCATGTCGCAGTGATGGCCATCCCATTGACCATTGTGTGCATAGTCCTGCTCATGTATCCCGGGAATGCAGCACAGTCCATGCGGATGCCACCGATCTATGACCCAAATGATCATACCCAGGCCTTCAGAGCCTGGAGTCAAGATCTGATGCTTTGGACCATCTCCAGTGAGCTTCAGCCGCACCAGCAGGCTGCCATGGTGGTGGAACTGCGCGGTCCTGCTCGAGAAATGGCCAGGAGTATCACGCCTCAGGAACTGTACCACGGTGGCATGTACAATGGAGTCCACTTGGATCCAGTCTCATATATCCTCCAAGGATTGGCATCAAGGTTCGCGCCGCTTGATGATGAGACTCGCCTCCGAGCTGCGCAAGAGCTCCTTTCGTTCCACCGTAGGCCGCATGAGTCGATTGATGGACTCATCACCAGGTTCAAGATCGTTCGCAGTCGAGCAAGGCAGGAAGGAGGTGGAGCAACAGTGTCCACTGAGACTGCAGCTCTCCTCCTGCTTCGAGCATGCGACTGCAATCCGGAGCAATTCCAAGCCTTGACACAACCCTTCGGCTACCGACTTCCGAACACAGACGACGAGTTCACCAGACTTTGTGCCCACATCCGTCGCTTAGGCCACATCGTGGAACGCCAGCCGTTGAATATGGCCAGCGCTCTCCGACAAGGCCAAGGCCCAGCATTTCCATGTCAACGATGCTGAGCAGTTCGGAGCATCAAGCCAAGATGCATGGCAATCAGGTTGGGAGGCGCCAGGCGATGCAAGTTGGAACCATGCACCAGGTTCATGGAACGCACAAGATTCCACCAATGCACGTGCCCTGTCACTGAGGGTAACAACAGTGACACCGATTTGGCCACGTCGTCCGACTCAGGTCAGCTGGACACCTCTGACTTTGCCCACTTGCCAGAGCACGAAGCCGATCAATACCTCTTTGGCGAGTGCCAGCGCGCCAAGAAGAGATGGAGACGCTTCTCATTCTCAGGCAAGCCTGTTCGTGCCCTTCGCAGGGTGCTCAGAAGGAAAGGGAAAGGTAAAGGTAAGAGCAAGTCAAAGCAGCATAACTCGTACCCTGAGCACTACTACAAGGGAAAAGGCAAAGGCAAACCCACTTCAGGTAAGGGTTTTGGTCGGAGGATAAACCCCAAAGATAGGCAGGGCCAGATCATGCGTTGCTCAATCTGCGGTTCTATGATGCAATCAAGGCTCACCTGAAGGTCAAGGTCAGTCCAGTTCAGGTCAGATCCAGCAAGCCGGTGATAGACGCCTGTTCGCGCAAGAGAGCTCAGTGCACTTCGCAACCTTCGAGCAGGTTTCCGCCGCCAGTGGCCCACCAAGTGAAGCCGACAACGCAAGGTGGTCTAATGCTGAGCCAAGCGCACCTCCACAGCAATCAGGTGATTCGCAAACAGCACAAGCTGGACCAATGTCACTGGCCCTGGAACTGAGACACCAAGGCCCACACAAGCTGCTGAGCAAGCCACGCCAGATTTCCCTCAGGTCTATTAGCTGACACCGGACCAGCAGAACGATCCGTGGATCAATGGGCAGGATCCATGGACGCAGGGATATCAAGAATGCTCGCAAGATGCAGCGTGGCAACCACAGCCAATGCAAGTCGGTGATCCATGGATGCAGTGGCACGTAGGAGGCCAGCAAGTGCAATACAACCAGCCACAGCAGTTCAACATGGTCAATGCAGCGCTCAGCGCCAATTCGTGGTTCATGCCATATGACCAGAATAGGCCAGCTGTCCAACATGAGCAAGTTCAACTGCCTGTGATTCCACAAGTGAGTGCTATCCAAGAAGCCGTTCGCGCCGCTGCAATGCAACAGAGTGTATCGAGCAACGCGAATGAACCATCAAGCAGTTCGACGCAGCCGCCAGTGTGGTTCCAACAGCCTGTTAGAACTTCAATACTTCAAGCGCTGCAAACACCTGAGCAAGTTGCAGTAGCTACAGCCTCAGAAGTGGTGTCCATCTTCGCTGAAGTGCATGCAGCAAGGTCCGCGCAAGCTGAGAGGTCTCGACCGCAAACACGACCTCGAAATGAAGTTCGTCCTTTCAGCAACCAGTGCACCATAGGCCAGCAGACCTTCAACCAAGGTGAAGAGATCTTGAGGATTGAATGTGGACATATGTTCCACAGCCTGTGCGTCAGTGAGATGATGCAGCATGCCGAGTCTGAAGGCAATGCAGTGCAGTGCCCAAATTGCTGTTCGGATGCAGTAGTTGTGAGCACATGGGTATATACAATCCCAACCACAAGGTCCGAAGCACCAACTGAACCTCCAGCAACACTAGCAGCCGCCGTGACCACACCAGTGCCAAGTGAGCACGGTGATGAGCTGGAAAACTCGGAGAGAGAGTTTCAAACTCCCGATCAGGGTGCAGCAGCGCAGTCGTATGCTTGGTGGCCAGTGCCGCAGCCAATGCGCAGAGAAGAGAGCTTTCACGCAGCAGCCTTGACACAAGGCTGCGGTCTCCTCGTTGATCCTGGCTCACACGGAAACCTTGTAGGTTCAGAATGGTTGAAGCAGGCTATCCCATTCCTCCATCGAGCCGGCAAGGAGATTCTTCGGTTCCCTCGAGCGATCGGACGGAACCATGCATGAGGGAACCTTCACGAGTCCAATTGTGGAGGAAAGCCATACACCTGCTCTCCTAGGTCTGCGCAGCCTGATGAGGCACAACGCCATCCTCGATCTCGGCAAGAAGATGATGCATTTGATCCCGGATGATCGTGAAGCAGAATACGAACTTCCTGAAGGCGCAGAGTCTTATCCACTGAAGCAAGCGCCATCAGGTCATCTCCTTCTCCCATTCACAGACTTCAATAAATGGGAAAAAAGAAGGTTCGAGAAGATGAAGATAAAGATGATCCACCTGTTCACTGATGACGAGCCAAGAACAGGCGACTCCACCGCCAGCGGATCAGGACTGCAGCGTGACACTGATGTTGACATGGAGGATGCAACTGCAAAAGCATCAGCCACGCCAGCGCCGCCAGCTGGCCCAGCTGACGTGGAAGTTGATTCGACACCTGCAGCCACAACATCAGAGTCAGCTGCAGAGCGATCAGTAGAGGCCACTCGTGCAGCGACAGAAACCAGTCACCACGCTGTCGAGTCAGAACCAACGACTACACCGCGTGACCAAGTGGCCCAGTTCCTACCGCCATCTCGTAAACTCCATCGAGCACCACAAGCCGCAAGGGCCGCAGCTGGAGTTGAGTACGGCCCAGTGAGAAGGCGACGTGAGCGAGCAGATGAGATGGAAGAGGTAGAGGTGGAGGAGGAGGAGTCCGGTGAATCAAGGAGGGTGAGGCAGTTCAGGCTGACAGAAGCAGGAGTTGCAGCTGCCGCCAAAGCAGTGCCAAGGTCACCTCCACAATCTTCACCAGGGCCTGCTGATGTGCCTCAGCCGAAGACACCACCTGGACCACCACCTCACTTGCAAGGATCTGCCGCGCCGCGAGAAGCCATGCCAAAGCCCAAGAGAAGGCAAGTGCCAAACCCAAAGAGGCAGCCGCCTCAGCCACCGCAGTCTACACGTACTGTCATCTTGGGGTCTGATGAGGACGTCAATGAGGCCAAGGCCAAAGGCACCACAACTTCCCAGACATCACCAGAAAAGACGAAAGCGTCTGTGCGACAACCGCCGCCGCCACCAGCGCCAAAGAGGCGATCGACAAGCGAGGCTGCCAAGGATCGTCTGCGTCGGGGCCGCGGACGGCCGAGTGAGGGCCAGCAAGCGAGAGCGATGGCCCACTCTCGCTGCTATACCTCGCAAGGGCCAGCAACCACGCCAAGTCTGCAGTGTTGGCCATTTCCAACCACAGCA